CACACACACACACACACACACACACACACGAAAATAAAAAATTTTAGAAGATACCAACCACACAGTCAACATTTGAAAAAATGTCCAGCCTCACCAGTAATTAAATATAAATTAGGACAATTTATATGAAAATACTATTAAAATAATGGTAATTAATATTTGAGTACCTAATGCTCATAAAGAACATGTCAAAAATAGATTCACATACTCCTAGGGGAAGAAACTAATTTTCAAAGAAGTTGGAACACTTTTGCAGTTAGCCTCAATTTTACAAATGTTTATAACTGGCAAACCAACTAAATGTGTTTCTAGGAATAAACCCAAAGTCCAGAAAAATGTAATGTTAGAAACACAGATGTTTACTGCACCTTGAAGATACTGAAAAATAATAGAAACCACCTTAATGTCCACAGAAGGTTAAGAAGTTAAGTAAATCAAGATACATCTAATCATCCATTCAAAAGTAGCACTGAATACTCATTTGCTAGCCACAATTATAGATCTGGAAATATCCCCCCCCAAAAAAAAGAGAGAGAGCAAAAAAGGTAGCAATCACCATTTAAATAATGTTTGTGAAGATTTTTTTTAAATATGGGACATGTTAGGCTGGGATGTAGCTCAGATGGTAGAGTACTAGCCCTGGGATCAATCTCCAGCACCACATAAACCAAGCTTGGTTGTGCATGCCCATAACTCCAGCACTCTAGAACTGCAGATCAGATGATCAGAAGTTCAAGGTCACCCTCTGCCACGTAAAAAGATCAAGGCTCTAGCCTGAACTACATGAGACCCCATCTTTAAAAAAAAAAGGACACATTTGCAGTATTCCCAGTGAACAAAGCTGAGTCTAAAATTGAATACAATCATATGAAACAAAATAGTCTAAAAGATTATTAAGAATGTGGCCTTTGAATGGAATTTGTGACTTTATTCCCCTCCTTTAAACCTTTCTGAACTTTCAAATTTTTCTAAATGCATATATTTGATAGCTACTGGTCAGAGCTACAATCCCAATGCATCAGAACTGAAACCCACCTCCGCAGAGCAGCCTTACCTGTTGCAATAATAAACTGCATTATTGGGATCCAGTTCTATTGCCTGAGTGTAACAATCCACTGCAGCAGCATAATTTTCTTCTTTCATGTGGTTATTACCTAAAACTGAATCATTGATATACACAGTAAGCACAACATATGGGAAATGTCATCTGACAAATACATTTAATCATAGAAACTACAATAACATGAAGGGCATATGCACTACTTTTCAATCACACTGGTCAATTTTATCTTGTACTGTGGAACTGCTATTCCTTAGTATCACAGTGCTTGAGTCTTTACACCAG